CTGGGATCGGACAGCGAATCCTGGACATGGTGGCCCCCGTGGTTCGAGCTTGCAAGGTCTGCCAGATGTGGCAACGACCCACTGCCAAATCCATGTCGGCAGTACGTCTCACCACCAGGTTCAACCAGGTCGCGCAGGTGGATTTCTTCTTCATCTTTCAGCTCACCATCTTGCACGTGCTGGATGAGGCCACCAGATGGACAGCAGTTCGAGCCGTTCCCTCACGAGAAGAAGGTGATGTCTTTCCTGCTTTTGAAGACATGTGGGATCGCGATCTTTGGACCTCCACGTGTTCTCATCATCGACCAAGAAGGAGCGTTCGCGCACGACGCCGGCATGGCTATGTGCGAACGTCACGCCATCCATAGGAAGCCGAGGGCCGTGGACCAACACGCCCAGAAGGTCGAGAGACATCATGAATTTCTTCGGGGAGTCTGCCACCGCTTGAAGGAGCAGTGTGATCGCGAGGGCAGCATTATCAAGCCCGAGCAGATCGTACGCGAGTCGTGTTATGCTAAGAACTCTCTGATGACTATCGGCAGGACTACACCGTACAAGGCTGTTCTGGGCGAGACGCCCAATCTGCTCCAGAATTTCAAGACTTTCACGACGACTCAGCAGGAAGACCAACAGCATCTTCATCGAGCACGAGCGCGCGAGCTTGCCCTTTCCAGCATGATCGAGAAGACAGCGACCGGGCGCCTCATCAGATCTGAGCGCTCACGCACACGTCCTGCTGGTCAGAAGTCTCAGTGCAAGACGGGCGACCTCGTGGACATCTTCCGGACACCACCCAACAAGGACCTCGACGGATGGAGAGGCCCGGCGAAGATCGTGGACGCTGCGGAGGAGACGCTCAACGACGGCATCGTCCACGTACGCTGGGGAGGCCGCGTGCTCATCTGCAGGCTCTAGGACGTGAGGAGGCATACCACGTTCTGGTCGAGCTTCTTCCTGCAGTTCCCAGACGAGTGGGCCCCGCTGCGTGAGTTCGTCACCGAACTCAGCCGTCGTATGATCGTCATCGGCTGGGTCTACGCAGCACAGGGCTGGATTATATCTCAGGGAACTCGACTTCATCCTGGGATATTTGCTCGAGGCCTCATGATTACCAACATGCATATGGGTCTCGCCAAATGCGCGGGCATTAGAGTGGGCTATGGCATACACACCATTCCTGAGATGGACGCAGTTTCTTTCACGCCCTTCGCCTACTGGTGCACTGGTCAGGACGGCTATAGCTACTTGGAGTGGCAAGGGACGCGCCGTCTTGATACCACGCAGGTGTTTGGCGGACGCTGGCACGACACCTACTTGGTGCAGTTCCTCACCGTTGCGGACACGGCTGCAATAACCATACAGCGTGAGGGACGAGATCGTGCATCGCCAGACTTCGATATGGATAAGGCCATGGGCATCTTCGAAGACGACTCCGACGAGGACATGATCCCAGCAGGCTTGCCACCACAACCTCCACAGCCACCAGCGCCTCCTCATGTCAGTCGCGGTCGTTCGCCTCCACAGAGCGAGCGAAGTCGGAGCCGGGAGCTCTCATCTATGCCGGAGGAGATTCGAGATCCTCCAGATCCTCCTGGACCAGACCAGGAGATGCTCATTCCAGACCAGCCCATGGACACGACAACGGACACCCACACCTTCGGTATCAAGAAGCAGATCTGACAAATCTGTTCGCTTCGCAACGCCTGTACCGAATGCGCCACCAGCTAGCAGCGACGAACCGCGAGTTTCGAAGCGTGGCAGATCGAGTACACCTTCCCTGGCTGGACCGTCTACGCCATCACGGCGACCCCGGATGGATAAGGAGGAGTCCGCAGGGACTGGACGACAAGTTCTTCCCCTGCGAGAACCTCATGAGCAAGGAGTACCTCCGACGGCTGCGCCGGGAGCTTCGTCAAGCAGTGGACCGAGTGCTCTAGCACCTGACGCCGGGCAAGTTCAGGTCCCTGACGACGATGACCAAGCTGAGCTCGAGACCAGACCGTATGACGAAGACGGCGACCGTCTCGACGAGGTCTCGATGGGCGACGACGAGGAAGTGCGCGATGAGAACCTCTACGTCGACGCTTGGTGGGCTGCGGCCAGCAGTCATTGCTGCAGGCAGATCATCGAGACGAAGGATTTCTTCAACGTGAACGAAGCACTGTCTGGAGTTCCTCAGCCGAACGTCACCGGCAGTGAGCCTGCAGAGATCGAGTTCGACGACGCACTAGTGCATTGGATGGAGTGTGGCCACTTCGTCACACACATGGGCGACTGGCGAGACGGACGTCTCGTGGCACGATGGGATTCCTCCAGGCGGAGCTGGCGCTTCCCCATCGAGAGGGAGATACACAACCTCACGACGGAGGAGGAGGAGCGCATCCACCACAAGGACGTGCTCGCGGCCAAGCTGAAGAAGGTCGAGTCCTGGGTGGAGCTCGAAGCCTTCTGCCCCGTGCCGAGAGGAGCTGGCGAGAACGTCATGGCGGGACGTTGGGTGCTGCGGTGGAAGATCATCGACGGCGCGAAGGCTGTCAAAGCGCGTCTGGTCATTCGAGGTTTTATGGACCAGCAGCAGGGCGGCCTCGACACAGCCAGCTTCACCGCAAGGCGCACTTCGCAGCGCCTCGTCCTTAGTGTTGGAGTGCAGTATGGTTGGGCCATCTTCAGCTGGGACATCGGCAACGCGTTCCTGAGAGGGTTCAGCTTCACGGAGATCAAGGAGCAGGGTGCGGAGGTCATGCGAGAAGCGAGCTTGGATCCACCGGCAGACGTCTCCTCCATCTTGCAAGAGTTCAAGGCATTCAAGGGCACCAGCAAGATGACGCACCTGCTCAAGCTCCTGAAGGGCGCCTACGGTTTGAAGAAAGCCCATAGGTTATGGAAGCTGCGCCTGGACCAGTATCTGACTTCAGCCGGAGGGCAACAGTCCTCTCTTGATGGACGCATATGGATGTGGTTCAAAGATGGGACTCTGCATGGGCTGCTGTCTACCCACATTGATGATTTGAAAGGAGCAGGTACCCCTGAATGGCGTGCTTGGTTGTTCGGACAGCTGAAGTCCAAGTTTGGCAAGACCACAGTGCAGGAACGAGAGTTCGAGCACTGCGGTATCCAACACAAGCAGCTAGACGACGGCAGCATCACCATCACTCAGGACCACTACATCATGGCGCTCAAGTCGATCCCGCTCACAGCAGAACAGAGGTCGTCGCCAGATGACGTGGTGGACGACGCCCTACACGGACACTTTCTCGCACTACAAGGCGGTCTTGGATGGGCCGTCAATACCAGACATGACATCGCGGTCTACGTGGGAGCCCTCCAGTCACCAGAAGGCCCCCACCATCACGGATGTGATCAATCTGAACCGCGTGCTGAAGTGGGTCAAACGCATGCCCTGCGTGATTCGCTTTGAGAAGCTGTTGCCGCCGTTGCGTGTTCTCGTCATCAGCGACTCAGCCTTCAAACGAGAGAACGGTGAGTCCATGGCGTGCCGTGGACACATACTTGCTTTGGCTGAGAAGCAGGACGACAACCCAGGCGGCAGAGCTCATTGGCTAGAGGCCGTGTCCAAGCGACATCGTCGAGTGACGAGATCGACCTTCGCTGCAGAGATCAACGGTCTCGCCGATGCCATCGAGCCAGGCAAAGTGATTGCAATGCAGTACAGTGAAGTGATCAACGGCACCACCACTGCGCACCAGATGGCGAGTGATGCATCCCAAGGCAGCTGGCATGTACGTATGGAAGCGGCCATCGACGCTCACTCCGTCTTCAAGTCCGTGACAGTCCAGGACGTCAAGTTGCCGCTTGAGGAGTCACTCATCAGCATCGTGATGGCCGTGAGATAACAATTTAGTCTTGGTCTCTTGGAGCGACTATGGTGGCGCAGTACGGTCGACATGCTAGCGGACGCCATGACCAAGGGCGCGTGCGCACGATAACCACTTCTGGATGCGCTCTCGTCCGGACGCTGGCAGTTGAGGAAGTCTTCCAAGTCAGCACGAGTACGTCTTGGGTGCGCACCCATTCGAGGATCCAGTGAGCCAGCGTGGGGTCCAAGGCACGACGAGCCGGTGACATCGGCTACAGAGAGAGAAGGAGATCGTGAGGAGCGCGCAGCTTCGAAGTACAACCAGAGTGATCAGAACCCTCTCATCGGGCTCGTCCGCGCCTCGCCCTGGCCCCATGCATCTGTGGCTGTTTCGGATCTAGGCTGCAGCCAGTGTTCTGCGCGCCGGTAGACGGCGCAGTTCTTCCCGCCAGGAGGTGGCGGACCTCAGACATCAACGTACCTCTCCCCCAGTCCTCTGGAAAAGGTTCCACGCGAAGAGCACGGACAAGCAGAGCATCAGGCAGGCAGAGAGGGAGGTGCAAGACGAGTGCATACGTTGACTGTATTCGGGAGGGCGGGACGCGAACCTTGTCGGGCCGTCCGCATCCAGGTGAAAGGTGTGCCGAAATGAATGGGGCAACGCTATAAGGCTTCCCTCTGGTACCGTAAATGAGGCTATTTGCAGGGCACGATCCGCGTGAGGGGCGTGCTACTGTGCGTACATTGTTTTCTGGGGGCGCATTTGAAGCGCCCTGTGGGGCACGATCCCTGTGAGGGTTGTGCCGACATGGGCGGGGGAACGCCAAACCAAGTCTGTCTCTGGGGTCGCAGATGGAGTTCCCTTAGGGGCACGCTCCGTGTGACAGGATAGGTCCTCCGATGCTGAGCATTTTAGAGTACAGCTAGAGATGGCTAAAACCAAAGCGCGTGCAAAGCCCGCGTGGTTCTAGTGTGTATATATATATATATTTATGAGCCGAAGAATAGGTATTCATACGTACAGATATGAGTGGTATACTCAAGACGCAGTTCAGACAAGAAACGGCGACCGGGTGCTGAAGATGAGTCTCTCGTGGTGACGGCTTGATTATTGGATCACAAGGGAAGTGTTTTTTTTTTTAATGGGCTTCGAGAGTCTCGGGGCACGCCCACAGCCGCAAAGGGTGGTTGCGGATCGCCCTGCGCTCTTCCAGACTGATTGAAGTTGACGCGGTGACCTGGAGCACCATCAAGACTTTCATCCCGTACGTCTGTTCGTTCAACCTCTCGCTGTATTCCAACGGGAGGGCCCTGGCTGCCTCGAACGTCGAAACCGTGATTGTCTTTCGCTCCCTGTCGCCGCTGTGCGTGAGCGTGTTGGACTGGATGCTCTTGGGCAGAGAGTTGCCGTCGATGCGGTCGTGGCTGGTCCTGTTGGGCTTGGTCGTGGGCGTCATCGGCTACGTCAGTGCCGACAGCGAGTTCGGCGTGATGGGGATCTCGGCATACAAGTGGGTCTGTTTGAACCTTGCCGGCATCGTCTTCGAAATGACGTACGGTAAAAAGCTTATCTCAGGAGTGCAGTTCAAGTCCCCTGTCTGGGGCGCGACCTTCTACACGAACGCGCTCGCGCTACTACCCATGATAGCTACTGCCATCTCTACTGGAGAGGTAGACAGGGTCACGAGCACGGAGATTGATCTCGTGTCCGCTTGCTGGCTTGTCGTTTCGTGCATAATAGGCTTGGGCATCAGCTGGTCAGGGTGGAACTGCCGGTCAAAGGTGTCGGCCACGGCCTACACGTTGTTGGGGGTTGTGTGCAAATTGGTCAGCGTCCTCCTGAACGTCTTGATTTGGGACAAGCACGCATCGCCGAAGGGCCTGTTCTTTCTGTTGGTTTGCCTCGCCTGCAGTGCGGCTTATGAGCAGGCGCCGCTGCGGAAGGAGGTGAGCGCGACGCCGCCTGTGGAGGCCGGGGAGGAGGAGGTGATCGGCTGTGGGTGTGAAGTTGCGTGCGGGGCAGAGGTGGACGGCCTGTCGGTCAGAGGAGGGCGAATAATACGATGATGCGTGAAAAACAATATCTTCCCCCACCCACCTAAAGACATACCAGTTGTTCTGCTCCAGCATTTCGTGTCCCAATCTGGCGGAGGCCGGAGGGGGGGGGGGAGGAGGAGAGAAGGTTCAAAGAGGCATCGCACTCTCGATAGATTCGCCCCCTTTTCCCCGTTCCTTGACCACTTTGTTCCTGGCATTCCCCCCTCTTCCCTCCTCCCTTGCTGGGTAGGGGGAGTGCAGGGAGGGGGCAGGGAGGAGTCCAGAAGATCGGGGGGGAATAGAGTAGGGAACGAGGAGGAGGAGGAGGAGCAGGAGCAGGAGGAGGAGGAGGAGGTTCGAAAAACCTTTATCCACTGCACATCGTCCGCATCCCCATCCCCACATGGGAAAAGAACATATGCTTGCCAATGGGTCGCTCCCTGAATATCATGTTTGTTCTCCAGGTGGATGTTTTTGTTCCCCTGGAATTGCCCCAATGATCTTCGCTACGGATGCAATCCCATAAAGTTTCCTGCTGGTTTCTTTCAGGTTTCCTCTGGGCTATTCGGTACCATCGACATGGGTACGGAGATGAGAAACCAGGTACAAAGACCGACCGCATTTCTTGATCAGTCTGGGGTGGACTCGCTGTCGGCGTCTCCGCGGACGTTGTCCATTCAAGACAGAAGGCCGCCTGCCTCAAAGCGGCCGCTGGTGGTTCCGGACAGCATTGGTTGTTGGGCATCGTACCCATTTTTCGTCACCATTTTGGGCGTCCGAAGTTGCCTCTCAGTTTCCTCAGGTTTCTTTCAGCTTATCCGAAACTTGTCTCTGGTGTTTCATTTGTTTTCTTCGGGTTCCGACGGTTTTTTTCAAACCGTCCTGTGGTGTTGGATCCTCGTTCGTGCCGCTGCGGGCGTCCCGTCGTCTGCCGTGTCGTCGTCGCCGTCGCCGTCCCGGCCGCCTCCGTCGCCGCTGCCGCCTGTGGCTGCTTGGTTTTTCTCTGCCTGGACCTCGTGCCCCTTTTAGGGGGCGCGCGCAAGGCCAACCTAGAATCCTAGAATCCCCCCCTCCCTCCTCCTAACCCTGCCTCTGCTCTCCGCATGTCCTCCACTTCGGCACACCCCTCGCACGTTTCGTGGCCCATGGGGAGCTCCACCGAAGGCCCCAGCGGCAGCGTCCGCACGGCGTACCCGCGCCCAAATCGGCACACCCTTCAGACATTTCGCAGCCCCATGGGGAGCTCCATCGAAGGCCCCAGTGGCAGCGCCCGCATGCGGTTCCACCGCCCCCACTTCGGCACACCTGTCACATTCCACCGAAGGCTCTAGTTGCGGCGTTCGCATGGCGCACCCGCACCGAACCCGGCATACCTCTCACACATTTCATGTCCCCATAAGGGGGCCGCACCGAAGGCCCCAGCGGAAGCACCCGCATTGCGCACACGCGCCCAATCCGGCACACATATCATTCGTGTCGTGGCCCAATAACGAGCTCCACCGAAGTCCCCAGTGGCGGCGTCCGCATGGCGTACCCGCACCGACTTCGGTACACCCCTCACACGTGTTGTGGCCACATAGGGAGCTTCAACGAAAGCCTCAGCGGCAGCTTCCTCATGGCGTACCCGCACCCATGTCGGCAAAACCCTCTACACGCTTCATAGCCCCATCGGGGATTCCACCGAGGGCCCCAGCGGCAGCGTCCGCATGGCGTGGCTCCATAGGGAGCTCCATCGAAGGCCCCAGCGGCAGCGTCCGCATAGCGTCCTCGCACCTGGTGTGCTCACACGCATCTTGGCCCCATGGGGACTTCACCGAAGGCCCCAGCGGCAGCGTCCGCATGGCGTACCCGCACCGAGTTCGGCGCACCGAGTTTGGCTCAAGCCACTTGGGCTTATGGCTCAAGGGTTCAAGTCCGGAGCCCGTGTGTATACAAGCCCCGCTTCCATCACTTCATACTCCTATCGAATTGACCCTCTACCCTTACTTTTCGATCTCATAACGATGCCTGCAGGGGTTGGAAGCGACTCACGCGTGCCAGGTACCCCGCCCAACCAGGCAATTACTCAAGGACGCTTCTGGAGTTTTTGCTTTACCCCCTGATAAACACAAAGTCTGGTACGGGATATAGATGGGCCGGCGCCGGCAGCAGTTTTGGAACTCTCGGGGCCCCGCGGTGCTGTATTTTTCCCATCCAAACGCCCTCTCCAAAAAACACCGGGTGTTTCTGAAAACCGGTGTTTCTAATATGTCAGGCCGGCTGGGCTTTTAAGCCGGTGGCCCTTCCCCTCGCCAGTGTTTTTTTACTTCTGGGTTATTGCTGTAAATAAAGTCACTGGGCCGTCTTTGTGCTTCCTGTCGCTGAGTGCGCGGGTCACTCGAGCGATGTCGTGGTCGCCTCTCTGTCCGAAAAAAAAAAGAAAAGGATATAGATGGGTTGGACGACGACCGCACTTCGGACGAGTCGTCAGGAGCAGCGCCGACAGGCCAATTTCAAGCGCCCCCTGCTCAGCCTCACTTTGGGAAAGACGCTACTGTAGCAGGACAGCACACTATGCACTGTGGATGCCATTGGGGCGCTCATCGCCGACCACTGCCGACCCATCAAGAATGACATCACCTTCATCAGACAGCACGAACTACCCCACTACCCCGCCTGGATTTGAAGAGCGCAACGATGCCTTTGAAAACACGAGTGGGGAAATTCCGAGATGAAGCCAAACACGTGAACATCCGGATGACGAGCATGGACATCTACGTGAACGAGCAGTTCGAAAAGATCGAGTGCGAAGTCGACAATCTTGGGAACACTACCCCACGTTCGCTTTCGGTTACATCCCAGACGGGGTACCCAGCCTCAGCCAGGACCAACGTGAACGACAAGAGAAGCACTTCGGCCGTAGTGGTTATGTGGATGGGCTTTCATCTTGTTGGAAAAAAAACTCGAGGATGGTTGGGACCTGAACTTGAAGCATTCGGGGCTCCAGCATGGACGAATTTTATATCGTAGAGGCGAATTATGGAACATTGCTTCCGCCGTTTAACAATAAAAAGCAGACACACGAGACGCAACAGTTGTCCATCTTTGGTTTGCCAAGCTCGGCCGGACTGGATAATCTGTCAGGGCCGCGCCAAACCGCCCTCTCCATTGGCTCGTGTTTCTTTGTTTTTTTCTTTCGGGCTGAGGTATTTCTTGACAACCAAACAGGGAATGGAGTTCACCATGCAAGCGCGCGATGAAAATTCGTATCTTGTTGAAGCTGGTGGGAAGTTCGCTTTCACACTAATACTAGATGCAAGCAGCATTGCTCGGACTTGGGCGACGGGGACGAGCGGGTGGAGTCGCGCCCGCGCCCAAAGTTCAAAGACTTCGCCCGTTTGACGAGCTCTTTGAACTTAGGGCGCGGGAGAGGGCACTGTGGGCAAAACAAAAAAAAAGATGAGGGGCGGAGCGGAATGCGCGCGCAGAAGGCGCCGAAGATGTTCTGCCCCCAGCGCCGGAGCGCTGGCAAATATGCTTTACGCCAACGTTGGGGCTTTCGGGCATCCCGGGAAAGGCTACCGCTGTTGTTTTTTGGTCGCTCAGTGTACGTCTTCCCGCGCTTCTAGGAAATCGCGCCTCTCATCTGCCTCGCTCATCCGCATCGCCACCATCAGTATCCTTTCCTTTTTTGTCGTCCGTTTGCTAACCGAAGACCTGCTCCAGCAGTGAGCAAACATAATCTTTCCGGCAGCACCCCATGGCGATTTCCGGCTGGCGCTGGAGGCTCGCAGGGCGAACTTGCCGCGACGCCCCCCTTCACCTCCACATCTTTGCCCCTTGCGTCATCCGCGAGCCCCCCCCCCCCCGGCGCCGTCGCCGCGATGATCGTCGCATAGGCGATTCAGCTGGGCCGGTTGGCGGAGGAACATATACCGATATGCAGATCGCGGATGATTCGTGCGCGGGCAAAGATTCCGGGCCGCGCCGCCAGCGCCGCAGTGCTTCCTCGCGTTCTTCTTCGCACCCCTCCAATCTCCCAGTTTCTTCTGCATCGCTCTCTCGTTTGCCTCCCGGAGGCGCCCGTCCTGTCGGGCGGCGTTGGCGCGACGATCCTCTCCTTCGACGCGCGCCGCCCGGCCGCCGATGCATCGCGGGGGGCGCCGGCGCCGTCGCGGACGCGCCCGCGCAGACGAAAATGCACGCCGCCAGATTCCCCCAGCGCCCCCCTTCTCCATCCCGAGATCTGCCCCGGCAAGTCGTCGCGGCCTCCCTTTCGCACAATCGCCCGGCAGTTGGAACTGCTCGGAAGGGCGCGGCAAAGCCGACAGAGCTGGAACGTGAAATGCACCAACGCACCATGCAAGAGACTGGGATCACGTGACCTTTCGCCGGAGCGACCTTTGGCGCGGGCTTACGGGGCCCCCCGATCACCGAAAGCGATTCGTCAGCGGCGCCTTGCGCGCTCGGGCCCCCCGCGGCCCCCTAGGATGAAGCCGCGCGCCAAAGATCGCCCCTGCCCAGGGCCACTCTCGCGCGCGGCCGAGAGGCGCCCGACGCCGACTATCTGCGCGCGTTGTTTGGCACGCCGCAACCGCAACAGGATGGGCGATTTTAGTCTGGGGTCGGCTGCTCGATTGCGCCCTCGGCCATCGCGCCGGGCAGCGAGCTCTTTTCGGACAGGCCCGCCACGTTGAAACTTTGGGTTCGGTCCGGGGCGGCGCTCAACAGACATTATTTCTGCTCGCGCCCCCCGCGGAGGCTGCGACGGCGAGGGCTGGCGCTTTTTTTCGACCAGCTAGCAGACGCGTGCCCAGCGCCGAACAAGCGTGTCTGCTGCGCTGTCGCGCCCCCGGCGACGAGGGCGTCGCGGGCGACCGCGCGCTTCGAAGCGCGCGGCCAAGGGGGGCCGATCATCTGAACGGGGGGCTTCGTTCGAGACGCTTGCAGAGGAACGGGGGGCGCCGTCGCCCATTCTGTATTTGTCTCGAGCACCCCCTGGAAGAGCTAGCGGCGCACTACGGGGCAGAAGTCCACGCGGCCAGTCCCGCGGTGGGGGGTTTGCTCGAATCG